TCACTGTGTTCACATCATTTCCTGCTCTTTTCCATTATGAAGTAAATTGTAGAACTACTACTATAAAAGTTACTGTTAAAATACAGCAACTAATAGCCCAGAATACACTGTAAATTCATTTTAGAGTACATGAACGAGAAAGAGAGAAAAAAACAAACGTGAACATTATTTATATGATGTACTTTGTCCTAAATATCATCGTTTTTCTTTTTCCAAATATTTTGGTATATTTTAAGCTTTGCACCTTATTTATTCTTAACAAAACATTGACATTTCCTCCAGACTCATTATTGGATATGTTCCATAACCATTAAAACGAGTCATGTTTTGGATGGACCATGTCCTTTTCTTTTGTGTTATGCGGTTAGCTGGCATTGCTGAGAGATTATGCTGGCATTTTTTTCCAGTGAAATAAATGAAGTCAGGAAAAGGTTTTAAACCAGAACTTAAAACCAGTATCGGATGTGGTAGGAATTGCAACCAGGCAAATTCAGGCCAAGACATGATTAAAAAAAAAAAAACATGGGCTGCTGTGGCTTGTTGCTCTGTTTTTATCCTGAGAGTTTACAGTAACACAGGACTTTTACAGGATTATATCCCACCGGTTACTTAAAACAATGAACGGTGGTATTTTAAGGATTGAGGTAAAGGGAATGCTGTTGTGTAATGGCAAGCAGATGTGGCAGGAATAAAGGATGGCATATGTGGATTCATCAGTATGGTGAAAAATGGCATAAAGTGAGATTTTACTGCTGTTACGAGTCAAGTTCACAAACGAGTAACCTCATGTTTAGAAAGCTACTCTTTGCATGGTAAAGGCCCAATACAAAAACTTCTGTGCTTTGACTATCAGTGGATGACACTTGTAATTCCTGCTATAGATAAACTGTGAGAATAAGTCTTTGCTATAGCCTTGTAGATTGAAAAGCCTTTCATAAACATTAGACATGTTGTGAATTGATGTTTTGACTGAGGTAATTTAGTTTGGTCTAGTCATGACCATTGCTTTCTGACCATTCCAATGGTGTAAAGCATAATCACCCAGAACACTCAGCTCTGTTTTTCATTCAATCCTCCAAGATCAAAGATTCAGACAACTTTTGAAACTGAGATGAGCTTTTGATGTTTTGATTCCTCCCTGTAAAAGCAAAATTCAACATAGTAGTTTTGTGGTGTTTTTAATGAAAGAACACACTAAGGCCAGAAACACATAAGTATGCAAGTACTTAGGTAAGTAGCTTAACTTGTTGATATTTTACTAACTTGACAGTAGTTGTACTGAAAAGGAAAACTAGTTCCATCTCAAATGATGTACTGTGCACTAACCAATACTCTATACCACAAGAGTACTGTTGTGGAGTATATAAATTTTACTAGTATTTTACTAGTTTTCCATTTGAAGAAAATTACAATTAAAATGCACCTGATGTGCTGCCGCTATCTATGATACATTTATCTTTCATTTCTTCAGGGAAGCTGCGATTTGAATGTATAAAGTATATGATATTGTTTTTTTTGCATCTGTAGTGCACCATGCCTCATACAAAAATCATGTGTGAACACTATTTGCAGTACTACAAAATGGTGTTGAATAGTTCATAAGTGTATGAATCGGATCGGGATGCACCTACTGTAGACACTAATACAGCACCCTCTTTCAGCAATCCGAGAAAGCACCGTGTAGTTCCGTTTTGTTTAGAATTTGGTTCTGACACTTTTTGGAACACAACAGCACATGAAATCAAGCTTTTATAGCTTGAAGCATTGCATTATAGTATTACCATCGAGTATGCTTTGGGCCAAGTTGTTTGTGAAGAATGACACAAAACCAACAGTGGTTCAATTACACTGGAGGGAAGTTTATTTTAGATCGTCATGTAGAATAAATTTAGGGTGTTGTTGTAGGCAGCCTGTGCTGGATTTGGTGCTCTCTGGTGTTATTTTATAAGGCAAGTGTGGGGGCTTGGGCTTATGAAGTGGCCTTGTTTAGTTGTTTCCTGGGATAGTCCATAAAAGACAAACGTCCTGTGGGAGTTGAAGCTCACTTTACTGACATTGATGCACCTTGTGCCTTATCCTCTGATGAGCATTAATTACAGACAGGTGCCTATGATTAATCCTCCTCTTGCTGTGGTGATCATGTGATCATCATCGCCCAGGGTGACACTAACAAGTGCACTGAAGACTCAGACCACTTACCAACTAGTGCAGGGGTTTTCAAAGTGTGGGGTGCCAGAGCATGTCAGGGGAGGCCCACAGAGTGGTTGGTTATGCTGGTGTACCACACCACAAGATAATCGGGCTGATTTTGGGCCGATTTCTCCCTTTCCGACAATCCTAGGTAATGTCCCGATTATCTTGGTGGTTCTAAAGATTATCTTATCAGATTTTCCTGTGGTGTGAGGTGTGTTAAGAGTGACTGAATCTGCTCGGAAGAACGTCGGAGGCGCCCCGATCGCGAATCGTAAATATTCAACATGTTGAATATTTATGATCAGAAATCCAGATGTGTGGGGGGAACCTCAAAAACACCACACACTATAGGAGCAAAACGGTTAAATCTAGGATTTTTTTTCCTCATATTTGTGGTCTCTCACATTTTGAAGATCTTATAAGATTTTAAAAATCTTTTAGTGTAGCATCAGTTAGTTAGTTAATAAGGCTGCCCCTTTACCCACACTGTTAGAGCTTATTCAATTTATCTACATAAACGTTATGCCATTTTAAAGCCGAATTGTAATTTAATGTAATTTTGAGACATTTGATTTTGTCATGTTTCAGTCAGGAGACATGTTTCTGCTAATCTGTTTGCGATCAGATCAATTTAAAGCTATAAACTTCTAGAAAGTTTTCAGTCCAAGGATCCAGTAAGTGAATGCACTCACGTCCAGATTTCAGTAAATTATTCATTTCAGTGTGAATTTGGCCTCAAAGCACATCCTCTCTTGTATTCTGGGATTGTTTCGGAGCAGCCCAAGCTGTATTTTTCTAAATCACCGAGCCACTGCATGAGCATATGATATGCAAACTACATCTCTTGGTTGGATAAAGAAAACCAGTGTCACGCTAATAGTAGTAGTACTAGTAGTTTTGATGGATGATGATCGTAATCAAGGTAAAGACAGTTACAATGACATACAACAGTGGTCTTTAGATGCACTTGAGTCCATTATTATTGATGCATAAACAAACTGTGTGTATGCTTTCGGCACACTGATTGCTATAGCATTGCATTTTTGCATGAACACCTTTCTATATTCTCAAAATTCATGTCCTGCGAGTGTTATAATTGTTTTTTGTTTTTTTTTAACATTCTAACTTTCTATTTAAAGAATAAAAGAATCCTACAAAATTTATCACTGTTTCCACAAAAATAAGCAGCAAAACTGTTTTCGACATTGAAATGTTTCTTGAGCTGCAAATAAGCATATATGATTTCTAAAGGATCATGTGACACTAGGAGTAATGGCTGCTGAAAATTCAACGTTGCTATCACAGGAATAAATTAAATGTTATTTACATTAAACATATTCAAATAGAAAACAGATATTTTAAATTGTAAAAAATATTTCACAATATTACTGTTTTACTGAATTTTTGATTAAAAAACCTGGTTTCTCCCAAGGTTATTTCTCCGTTTCTGTTACCGATGGAGTTTGGGTTCCTTGCCACTTTCGCCTTTTGGCTTGCTTAGTCGGGGACACTTAATATTTGGCAATAATATTAACTTGACTGCACAGACACTATTGGATTAAAACTGAATTTAGCTGGATGATGACTTGGCTGTTTAAAGGTGAATTAAACTCATTCCATAATTGAGGAACTTTACACAGTTATTGAACCAGACTGAATCAACAATGAACTGATTTCAACTGAACAATGACTGTTTACTGTTGTCTTTTCAGAGCTGCTTTACAGCAGAATTGAATACTGTTTGCATCACTGAATCATTATTTTACTTTTAATCACTGTAAAACTGCTTTGAAACAATCTGTATTGTAGAAAGCGCTATATAAATAAAGGTGACTTGAATGGAAAGAAGAATGAGCTTGAATGAACACTACATACAGTGTACTTTTGCAGTGGTCACACTCTTATCAGGTGTCTGTTATTGGTCTGATTTCAGAGCTTATTTGGCAGGAACACAAGCATTCTTCAGCCCACGTTTCCACAGATACAGGTCTTTGCAACAAGGCCATGCTTGACCTGCTTTTCAGTGCTGCTCTCTGCTTTTGAAAAGCAAATATGAAGAACTTGAGCTCAGAGTGTGTGAGCGTTGAGGAAAAACTGCTTATGATAATGTCTTGAAATAGAAACAAGTGTTGCTTATAAGGCATTTTCTCAATCTCCCTGGTGTGTTGTACCTTATCAGCAGACTAATAGATGTTCGTTATTACCTCAGCTTGTGAGAAGGAATGTGTTATATGAAAGTGTAACTGAAAGTTCTGCTGGAGCCATGACTTATCCTCTTACAGGGGCTTGTTTCTGGAACATTCTGTGTGTGATCTCATATTACATCAAGAAAATAACAAAGTCGAACACTTGTGCTGCAACAGGTTTGGTATTGATGGGAAACTTTAACCTGAATTTGAAGTAATGCTCTAAAGCCCACAGTGCTGTGCGCTCATTCAAGCTTTGTTTGGCAATGTGCTAAATCATAATAAGTTGGTTATATGTTTGACTTAGGTGGTGTGCAAAATTCTGCAGTTGCTATTTTTGTGCATAAGCCTATTGTGTGGTAAAAACTCTAGTGAAATGATTCATTGTTGAGTAAGTGTGTTGGTCATGGCACATGTAAGATTGACATTCAGACTGACATTCAGGTTCAAGTCTTGCTTGCAACATTCCCTTTTACCATTCCAATAAAATAAGCTACATTTACATACCTTTATTTTGTTTAAGGAATATATGAAAATGTGAACTTACTACTAGAAGTTTATGACTGTGATTTTATTAAATGGAACACTACAAAATCTTACCCTATTGTTGTTAATTTGCAGGCGGAGACTAATATCCCAGCGTTCCTCACTGGAGACTCTGGAGGATATTGAGGAGAACGCCCCTCTACGCAGGTATTACCAGCAGGACCATAATTGTTTTGTGCTGAAACTATTCAACGGCCATGTACTTGGTATATGTGTGATTCTGACAGATTGTGATAAATCAATTATTGCTTGGGTAACCCATCTGATTGTTCTTTCAGTTAACATTATGTAAACCTTTTTACTTTAAAAGTGATATATTAAAAGTAAGTTTAGTGCTGTTCAGAATGATTTTGCGCATAGTTTATGTTTAACACAATTGTTTTATTTACTCTTTAACAAGACTGGTCTCTTCAGACGTATTCTGATTTACTAACAGTGCTTGAAGTTAGTTACACTAGGATAAAGCTTGTAAATAAATAAATTGTTAAGAGTAAAAAACAATAGCAGTAAGTGTAAGAAAAACACAAAGTCAGAAGTCAAGTAAAAAACTGATTTATATAGCACTTTTCACAGTACACATTGTTTCAGAGCAGCTTTACAGAAAATCATAATGTTAATGTTAAGAATAGTATCTCATTGCAGTCTTATATTTAGCATATTAGATGAGATTTGCACTATAGTGTGTGTGTGTATATATATATATATATATATATATATATGCATAAGAAAATCAGTATTTATTTCTCTAATGAACAGTGTTGTATTTATTTCTCTAATGAACAGTGTTGATGCTGCTTTGTTTCTAGATGCCGAACTTTATCTGGTTCACCCCGACCAAAGAGTTTCAAGAAGGTCCATTTCATCAAAAACATAAGACAACATGATATGCGCAATGGAAGGTATGCTCACAGCTACCCAACGGCCCACACACAGACATCTCACAGAGAACAGCACCCACACATCAAGTGTTTCAGCAAAAGACTCTTTTTTTTAAAGAAAGAAATTTATTAAAAGATTTTTCCTGGTTCTCAGTTTTTGTTTTTTTTTACTTTTAAAAATTAATTTTGAAATTTGCTAAATTATTTCCCTTTTTGATGAAATTTTCCCTGGATAATCATGCACATTGCAACCATCAAATTTCTTCCAATTTTATAAGGTCATGCCATTTGGATATAATACATTAAAAAAAAAACAAAAAAAAAACAAGATCACTTGAAGTCTTAGATCCTGGAAAAGGAAATTATGTTTTTCGTTACTCTTATGTAGATGTTCATCAGTGTGTGTGTGCGTGTGTGTCTGTGATATTTTTATCTCTAACTGACCCTCTGGTATTGTAAATTGATAGTTGAAGCAGACACTCTCTAAAACCCAAACATTTGGGGCATGTTATTAGTGTTTTTTGTTTGTTTGTTTTTTTATAATTGATTATAGAGTGTTAGCCAGATGCTCTCTTTTATCTGAATGGGATTTTGAATTGGTGTGTTGGAAAACAAGAGGTGGTGACCAGCTTAGTTTTTCCTTTGGGGTTTTGAGAAAATCCATCAAATAAACAGATTTGCAGCCTTCCAATGAAGTCACTGACTTTTATTTTGTAAAGCTAACTGCAGTGTTTGATGTGTCAGAAAGCTTTTTTTTTCTGACTGTACTTTGATCCAACATATTTTTTATTTTGTGCTTTAGATCAGTTATTAGCAGTTGATGAACTTCTAAAGGAAATATAAGAACTTGAAAAGCCTTGGCAGAATATCCTTTGTAAACAATCCTTTGTTTGTTTGTAAACATGTTCAGTTCTCAGTGGTCTCAATCAGGTTTTAATTTACTTCAAAGATTGTTTTTCATAAGCAATTTGCCTTTCTTTTTGTTTTCTTCTGATCTTTGTTGCTTATTCCCAGATACATTCCTACATAATTTATGACATACTATTTCATATCAGTTATTTACTGTGTATCTCTTCATCTTTGCCTGTGGTCCTGACCTCTATATTGACAGAGTTCACTTCAATTAGTTTATGTATCATTTTGTCTTTATAGGATAGTCCTTCTCAGTGGCAGAAGATCCTTCTATAGTGTTTTTTCTGTCCTGCCCTATCGAGATTGTAGCCAAACAGGGTATGTATTCTTCAGCATGCAAATCTTCTTTTCATTATCATCCTTTTTATCCCTTCACTTTCGAGTCCTACCATTTTTTCCCCCCTGGCCATTATCAATGGGTCCAAAAATAAACATGCTGAATCCTTCTTCTAAGTAATCGTTAAAAAAAAAAGAGATTTTTTTTTTAACTATTATTTGGATTTTTTCATATAGTGTTCTCATTTATTCAGTTGTTTTTAGACTGTATGCACAGATCGTTTGTTATACGTTTTGTATCATGCATAGCTCTCCTGATTTTTGGTAGTACGTGTGTAATTTCAATTCAGAGAGACTGACCAACAAGCTTGAGCATGCTTTACATAGACCTCACCCTTGATTTACCACTTTTTTTTCTAGAACGGGCTTTTTTTAATTACTGGATCTGCAGCTATACAGCTATTTTCTTTGATATTTAACAAAATTTTCTTTTCTATCTTCTAATGGGACGTTTTTCTTACCTACACCTTGGCATTGCCTGCTGTCCCATTGTTTAAAGCTGAAGCTTGTAATTTATTTCTGTAATACATTAAAATGGTTTCTCCTATTATTTTTAATATGCAGAGACAACTGTAAGTAAGCCATATGTAGGTTTATTTATCTGAAAAGTGAGAGCTCTGTGATGGTGCTTTCAAACACTTGTTTGAGTATCTTGAAAATCTACAGCTCAACCAATGGTGTAAATTTGAGGCGAAAACTGGTTAGAAAACAGTTATTTTTGACCTTCCATTTAGTGATGATAATAGAAATTACAGACTTAAGCTTTAACACAGTTTTTACTTTTTAGAGTTGAGGCCTACTTAAATTTCTGTTTATGGAGTAAAAATTCAATTTAAACAGTTCAACTTGCTTTGAGCATAAGAGTGGAGACTCTTTGTTGAGTTGTTGGTTTGTTTTTAATGATAGCAACTTGAGGGAATCTCAATCATTGGATTTATTACTATCTGAGATTAGGTTCTGTGGGGGATGGTGTAGACTTTGAGTCCTGCTGAATCTTTATTAATAATGACTTAATACCGAATGGCTAGATGTTGCACTGTTTCTTTCCATGATTCTATTCACCACAAAAAAGAGTTAATATTAATGGTTTAACAGAAACAACATGTGAATAATTTGTGATACAGATTGTGAAACCGTATATTAACTGGACAAAGGGCAGCGTTAAATCCATTTAAATGTCCTTTTTATGGCTACACTTGCATTTATTGAGGCACTATTGGAAAGCTGATAAAAGCATTGTAGAGATAAAAGCCTCTCTGTATTATAATGTATGGTATATATGGATAAAAAGTCTCAGACCACAAGTGAAAATGCATTAGTTTGCACTTTGCATTATTTAATATGAATGTCTTCCTCAATAGGTGTATTATTGGTTTAATGATTTTTAAGTACATTCAAGAGCGAACATGAATGTCAAAATGACTTTTTTGGTTAGTCCATCTTTTGTTTCAGTGACAGCAGAGCTTACATGAACTTTAACACTTAGTGATCCATGTTGTCCATCTTGATTTGTTAATATTCCAATGGAAGAAAGGGAATTAGGGGCCGGTTGCATAAACTGTTTAGACTAGTCTTAAAAAGTTAGTCATCTAATTGTTTTTCTTCAAGACTGGTCATAACTTTTTAAATTCAGTTATGAAAATGTAGATTGGTCTTATTTGTATTGGAAAAGTAAGACTGATTAGTGATTACCCCTTGGCAACTGCTAGTTGGTCAAACTAGTTCTTAAAGGAACACTCCACTATTTTTGAAA